TTGAACTCTAACTGGACGAGATTCGAATCATAATTACCGGAATTATTTATTCATTCATTTAATTTGTGAAAATGTCATCATCTCACTAACCGTATCACGTTGTAGATCCTACGTTCCTATGGAATATTTCATCAACCAATGTTAATTTATTGTTGATATTTGTGTTGTGATATATAAATAATATAAATACAGTTGTCAGTTTTCGTTACTATTCATTATATGTTATAATTATTGTTATCGTTATGATTATTGTTGTCATTAAAATGAATGTTTTGTTTTGCAACCTTTCCGCTGATATCACTCATCGTTTTTCGAGTTATGTACGTTCGTTTTTGCGCACTTGTTTTGCGTGCGCGTCCCTCAAAACAAGAATTCCTAAATTTTGCGGCCATATGCTCAGTGTTTTTATTCCTAATGATCACTCAGTGCCGTCACCAACGTTTGTACAAAATCCAACGTTTTAGGTTTCTATAAACTCTTCGTTGTATATTATTCCCGCACAAGAACATCAATTCAGAACGCACAAACCCCACAGACTGATCGTATTTTAGAGACCCGAAAAGACATGTGCATGCGTTTAGTGCTTTTCAAACACTAACCGTAGAAGTGTATTTGTTTTCTTCAATTCGAAACATTTCGCATGTATAAATAAATAGTCGATTATCGTAAGAGACNCCACAGACTGATCGTATTTTAGAGACCCGAAAAGACATGTGCATGCGTTTTGTGCTTTTCAAACACTAACCGTAGAGGTATATTTGTTTTCTTCAATTCGAAACATTTCGCATGTATAAATAAATAGTCGATTATCGTAAGAGACAAAAAATTTCTGGCGATTCTGTTCCTTGGATGGGGACGTTGAAGATTATTTGGCTATAAAAATAAAACCTAAAGAGGTTGAAACATTTTAATGGAAGAATCATGTTCCGTAATGTTTTTGTAAGTTTTATTTATTTTGCCGATATCATTATTTTTGTTATTGGTGCCTCAATTTCGTTCGCTTTAGTTGATTGGTTTTCTAAAATAAGCAACATGCACTCGGATTGTTCAGTGCTTTTTGTACAGTTGTTCGATTGTTCGACATTTTCATTGTTCAATTGCTGTTTAACCCTGGTGATTCATTCACAAAACGTCAAAAAATCGCAAGCTTTTTCGGACATTCTAGTGTCGCAGCTAGTGTTCTGCAATTGCCCAAGTGAGAAGGATAACATTAGATCGTCATGAAGCAGAGAAGCTGTAAAGTTGAAGATAAAATCCAAAAATACCAAAGACTCAGTATCAAATTC